CTTTTTATAAAAACATTTGTTAAAAAATAATATTACTTGTTTTTTTTTAATAACAGGAAGCAGAAGCTCTGGAAATGTACAATGAAGCATTGAGACTATATTGTAACGATGAGTTCAGCCCTGCAGAGAAACTTTTTTCAAATGTTTTGCAAACTGATCTTATAATTCAGGTTCAATTTCAAAAACAAAAGTTATTAAAGAAAGTTTTGATTTGTATTTTTTTTTAATTGGTAAAAAAGAAAAAAAGCTTTAATTGTTATTTTAGGCTCCTGAATCAATAGCAGATGGAGAAAATTTAGTTAACAGCCCAGCTTTATTTTTAAAGTACAATGTTTTGAAAAATTTAGCTCGTATTTATGAGAAACTTCAGGACAATGAAAAAGCATTAGACTTCTATTTAAATGTAAATAATATTCTTTATTTTATTTCAATATTTAGCAATTATATTATTTATAAATATGTTTAAATTTGAAGGGTTACTCTACCAACAACATAAATCCTCCATGGTTTTTGTTATGAGTTGAAAATATTTTTTAGTGATTGTTAAGTTAATTTTAATAATTGCTCACTGGGAAATAAATGAAGGCACCTTGTGAAATTATTAACTTGGCAATCTTTATTTGCTGTTTAGTATACCATATTGCAATAATGTTTATATATATATATATATATATATATATATATATATATATATATATATTATATATATATATATATATATATATATATATATATATATATTTGTTTATTCAGAAATCAATAATATTTATAACAATTTTAGTCCATGAATGTTTATAATATATTGATGAAGAGGTGCAGCACCTCCATGCTGACAAATATTGGATACACAGTGTGTCTATACTTAAACTGTTAGTGCATTGAATCGACTTTTGAATGCGTCGGCTGAAAAGGAGTTAACAACGCTTGATGGTAAAGCATTCCATGCGGTAATTACGCAGTTTGTGAAGAACTTTTCTCTTTCGAAACAGTTCTTGACTATTGGCTTAGTAAGTCTTGAGCTATTGCCACAAAGGTTATATTGGGAAAATGTTTGCACATAGACTTGAGGCACAACAAATTTTCTCAACATCATTCACAATCTTATATTGCTGAATTAAATCATTTCTAATTCGTCTATCTTCTAATTTGGTTAGACCTAGAATTATGTCTTTCCTCATATGATTTATGTTTGATGTCTTTGATCATCTTTGTTGCACGCTTTTGAATGATTTCGAGAACCTTGATGTCTCCCTTCAGATATGGCGACCACATATGTATATATATATATATATATATATATATATATATAAATATATATATATATATATATATATATATATATATGTATATATATATATATATATATATATATATATATATATATATATATATATATATATAGTATATTATATGTATATATATTATATTTATATATATATATATATATTTATACATATATATATATATATATATATATATATATATATATATATATATATATATATATATATATATATATATATATATATATATATATATATGTATATATATATGTATATATATATTTATACATATATATTTATATATATATATATATATATATATATATATCAGTTTTTTCCATTTGAAATTTAATGCCAGCGCATAAAAATGTGCTGGCAGGATGGTCCTTTTTAAATTAGCCTGCGCAATTTAAAAAAAAAAAAATTCTGCTTTTTAAATTAAAACAAAATAGCAAAAAGAATGCTTTGAATAAACACTAGGTAAAATAATTTTTAAAAAAATAGTAAAAAAAGGCCACATTTCATAAAAAATGAACAACTATATAAAAAAGTTTTGTTGAAATTTAAAACTAAGCGCTTTTATTTTTTTAGCAATCGCTTATATATGTATGTATATATATATATATATATATATATATATATATATATATATATATATATATATATATATAATATATATATACATAGAAAAGTAATTAAATCAAGCATATTTGATCCAACTAGCCTAACAGCCAAGTTCAATGCATACACTTGCCATAGTATGGTGAATTCCATAGTATTTCATAGTATGGTAGAGTATAGTATTGTGACAATGTGTATTGCCCATACACATGTGGTTTTTTATATAATTATACCAGCTTATTCAATTTTTTCTATACTATGGCAATACTATACTTTACCATACTTATTATACTATACTTTAGCAATACTATACTATACTTTACCAAATGTATTTGTATGGGCTATACACAATGATTGTGTATGTCCCATTCACATACATGTGGCTTTTATATAATTATACCAGCTCACTCAATTTTTCTAATACTCTGTAACGATTGGGAAATAATTTACTGTCTTATAATAAAAATAACAATAATTTTTGTAAATAAATAACTTTTTAAACATAATGTATCTTATCATTTCATATGATATCAGCGCCATTACTGTAACACTAAAGGGCGCACATTATTTTAGGGAAATACGTTTTTATCGAATACCATAAAAGCGTATTTCCTTAAAAATATTTCCTTTGTTTTACCTAATTGGGATTTAAGGGAATAAGTTTCCTTAAATCAAGGAATATTTTTTACTACGGTAAGGAAATTTTTAAGGAAAAACCGGTAAGGAAATTTTCTTTAATAGGCAAGGAAAGATTTTTTTGAGTGTATGAATGAATTCAAACCTGAAAAAGTTACAGAAGTTAGTCAAGATTAAGCTGTTGAAGAAGATTTTAGTTGTTCAGACCTTGATAAGACAGTTTTTTTTTTTTTTTTTTTTTTTCATTTTTTAAATCGCATTCAAATAAAGTAACAGTTCTTAATGTGTGTCTTTACTGAAATATCTCCACTCAAAAATGTAAGTAGGCACGACAAATTAGGATATATAAAGCAAAAGGCTAAAAATATCACAACAAGTATGACAAACCTAGTTGCGTTAGCTTTGGATATAGATTCAAAAGATATAGTATTGGAAAAGGAGCAAAAATGTGATAACTGTAATGATATACACTAACTGTTAGATGCAATAAATTATAAAATAAAAATAAAAGTTAAACTACTAACACTAACTCCTGATAGTTAATCAATTGAAAAAACCTTTTCAGTTTCAGAACATCTTTGTAAGAAAGCTCGAAAGTTGAAAAGTGAAAAAGGAATACTTGCTAAACCTGAGGCTAAAATAGGACAGCCTTTGGAAGATATTGTTAAACAAAAAGTCATTGAAATTTATGAATTCAAAGAGTTCATCAGACAATGTCCAGGAAAAAAAGTTTCTGTGCGTATAAATAATGTTAAAGTTCATAAACAAAACTTTTAATATTAGTTCGATTAAAGGAACTTTATCTTGAGTTAAAGCAATGTGATGAGAACTTTAAATAAGTATTTGTCACTTAATACAATAAATCGAAAGTCTGGAAGTGGCAACAACTTGAACATTAACAAAAAACTGAAGACAAATGTTTTGGCGAAAATAACAGCAAATCTTAACATTTCCGAGCGAGATTTGGCACTAAAATGCAAAACTAGCAGACACATGGTTCAGACTATCAAGAAAAAGCATAAAATCAAGTCCTTCAAGATGTATAAAGCCCCAGATTGCAATGCTGAAGAAAATTTAGTGGCAAAAAGTGGTGCTAGAAAATTATGCAAATTATTGTGTAGAAAAAAAAAAGTATAATTGCGGATGATGAAACTTATATAAAATTAAATTTCAAAACGATTCCAGGACATCATTTTTATATGGGAGTCTCCAGGAAAAAGGTAAAGGCTAAATTTAAAACAATAAAACTAATAAAATTCCCCCAAAAAATTATGGTTTGGCAAGCCATATGTCAATGTGGATTAAAAACAATGTTTCATTACTAATTCCACAAAAAATAATGAAATCTATTAAAAGAAGTGCCTTAAAAAGTGCTTATTGCCACTGTGGAACGCCCACGATGGTAATGCAATCTTTTGGCCTGACCTAGCGTCTTGTTTTTACTCAAATCCACGTTAAACTTCTACAATGCCAATAGTAACGATTTCATACCTAGAACACACTATCCTGCAAAATGTCCTGAACTTCGTCCAATTGAGCAATATTGGCCGATTATTAAAGCCAAATTACGTAAGAAGTTTAGGCAAGCAAAATCAAGTACTGACTTTAAGAATAAGTGGGATAAAACCACCACAGAGTATGAATCTCACCTAGTGCAAAATCTTATGACTCCCATCAAGAGAAAAATTAGAAAAACTCATCGTACTGAAGAAATTTAATTCTTTACTTTATTTATTTTTGTTCTAGACTTCTTTACTTTATTTATTTTTGTTCTAGACTTCTAGTTCTTTACTTTATTTATTTTTGTTCTAGACAAGTTCTCTAAACCTATCATTTACTAATATTCGTGGTCTTCGAAGTAACTTTTCTTCTGTTGAGTCTTATCTCTTGCAAAGTTCACCAGACCTACTTGCTCTTTGTGAGACTAATTTGAGTTCAGCTGTCCCATCTTGTGATCTTAGTGTTGATGGTTATCTTCCTTTAATTCGTAAAGACTCCAATAATCACATGCTTGGCCTGGGCATCTACATTCGTAAGAACTCACCCATTTGTCGTGAAACTAGGTTTGAATCTACAGACTATTCATTTATGTGCTTTCGTTTAGCACAACTTCACTCTATCGCCTTTCTCTTTGTTCTATATCGCTCTCCTTCATCCCAAGATTGCACTATTCTTGATGTTATTTCTGATCAAATTGACCAAGCCCTCTCTCTTTATCCATCGGCCAATATTGTCGTTGTTGGTGACTTTAATGCCCATCACACTGATTGGCTTGGCTCTAGTGTCAGTGACTCTGCTGGCGTTAAGGCCCTCAACTTTTGCCTTTCTCAATCTCTAACTCAAATAGTCAACTTTCCAACTCGTTTTCCAGACAACCCTAATCATTTACCTTCTCTACTCGACTTATGTCTTGTTTTGGATCCTAGTCAGTGCTCAATTTCTCCACATTCACCCTTAGGTACTTCTGATCACGGTTTGATCTCTCTAAAACTATTATCAAATTCTTCTACTTCATCAGAATCCCCCTATCATCGTACCACATACAACTACCTTAAAGCTGACTGGGACTCTTTCCGTGATTTTCTTCGTGATGGCCCTTGGGTAGAAATCTTTCGTCTTCCTGCTGACAAATGTGCTTCTTACATAACTTCGTGGATTCAGGCTGGCATGGAATCTTTTATTCCCTCTCGACGATTCCAGGTCAAGCCTCACTCTTCTCCTTGGTTTTCCTCACATTGCGCAGTAGCAATTTCTAATCGAAACCGTTACTTCCATATCTATCAGCAAAACAATTCTCCAGAAAACAGACATCTGTTCACTATCGCCAGAAACCATTGTAAAAAGGTTTTGTCTGACGCCAAAG